CACTCTCTGCTCTGTCCCTCTCTTGGTCTCTATGGTTAATATGCTTTATTGACATGCCAAATTATTGTATATTTGTATTGCCAAAGCATTTCCAGCTTAGTCGTGTACCAAGAAAATGGTGCAAAACAATGTACTTAAATTAGGGAAAATAATGGAAGACAAATTAAATATATACAGTATGGTCTGGTCGAAGGAAAAAAAAAAGAATGCATGGCCGCTTAGAACTTCCGTAGGGTCTCCCATTCAGGCCAAATTGGTTTGGCTAGACTGTTATGCTAATAAAGAAATTTTCAGCTGAAAGTTCAGAGTTCAGCTGAACACCATCTTGACCAACACTTAAACAAGCTGAGATCAGAAAACCCCTTTTTATGTTGTTTATTATATTAAAATTATATTAACAACTGAATAAAAACAAGCAATAGCAAAAGAGCTTGGTCAGAGAAAGAGACAAAAGCCAGACCACTCGCTGTCCCTCATACTGTAGCAATCACTGTGCTGCTAACTCTCTCTCTCTCTCTCTCTCTCTCTCTCTCTCTCTCAGTAAGCTGACGTAAAATGAGTAAGATTTGGCTCACAATGGTTCACAATACATTAAAAGCTGATAATAACAGATTGTCTGACTCCAGGGCTAGAAATAACCTTTAGAGACACTCCCTCGTTCCCTATACATTTCTGTTGTGGGTATGTGACGTTATTTCAGTCTGCTGTGTAATCATGCTTTAGCCTATAGTCGTATAATGCGTATAGAGCCTGAAAAGAATATCACAGTGAAATGGTCTGCTGTTTAATTTTACTGAACTTAATTTCATGTTACGTGATGTGAAAATAACAGCTCTTGTCAGAATAATAGCTTGTTGATATTTAAATGTCCTACATATGTTCTTGGACTTATTACATGTAGATTAGTGTAAATTTAAAATTTGAATAGAGATCTAAAATGTCCCTTAATTTTTTCTCTCTCTCTCTCTCTCTCTCTCTCTCTCTCTGTCCAACAGAACATTATAATTGAATGGTTTTGCCCTGAGCTGCATTGTATGCCGATACATACACACGGCCAGTACAAACCAGATTAAATATCTAATCCTGCAGACAGCAAGAGAAGAACAGAGGGTTTGTGTGATAGTGAGAGACAGAGGGAGATAGAGGAAGTGAGAGAGTGATTTACACATGACCTTTGTCCCTCTGCAAGGATGAGAGATGAAGATCAGCGGTCCACTGGTGGCTGTCTGTCAAAGACGACAGGACACACCCCATCTGTGCGCGAGTGTGTGTGAGTGAAGCAGCTTCAATCTGTCTAGTCTCTGCATCAGTGCTTTATAAGCCTCAATAACTGCAGTATAGAAACAGAGCCTAAGGCAAGGTGTATGAGTCCGTCCTTTACATCAACTGGGTTTGCTTCAGGACCCATATTTTATATTGGATATCAAGTGGCGACCCAATACAGTCCTTAACCACCATCTTTCATGCAGTCACGGTCATATTGTCTTTTACCTTGTAAAATACAATTGCTTTTTGAGAATAAGAGGGATGTTACACAACCTGTCTAGTTTACCATCTGTCTGATTTGATTTGCTTCTACCAAGTGACAGATGAATTTGCGGTGAAAGACTTGGATAGATATGGGAAGCTTTTTCTTTTCACTATTCGCTTTTATATTTGTTTTCTTGCTTTTAAATATATTATAAAAGCAAGAAAAAATGTGAAATTAGAGACGTCTTAAAACACATCAATCCTGGTGATCATATATATATATATATATATAAACTATCATTCAAAAGGTTGGCATCACCAAAATGTATGTGTTTTAAGAAGTCTCTTATGCTCACCAAAGCTGCATTTATTTGATCAAACATAAAATAATACAGCAATAGTATTATAATTTAATTGTTTTCTATTTTCTATTTTTAAATGTAATTTATTTGGTGCTCAAGTGCTTATATTTTTGTGGAAATCGTGGTATATTTTTGTTGGGATTCTTTAATGTAAGAAAGTTCAAAACAACAGCAGTTATGTGAAGCACATTACAGTTATGTGAAGCACATGTTTTCTAACATTATAAATCGCTCTTCTGTCACTTTGGATCAATTTAATGCATCCTTGCTGAATAAAACTATTAATTTCTCTCAAAAGAAATCTTACAGACCTCAACAAATGACTTACTGTATAGTTGCTTCTGCATATTGCACTGGAATACAAGTTCTTTTAACATTGAAAAATTGCATTAAATTTCATGAACCTCATAAATGAACTTTGCCAGTCGTAATAAATACATACTGGGTATACAGTGCATAGATACAAGTTCAAATCATCAGCATTCACCAATATGAATACTATCTTTCACACTCACCACTTTCAGCACAAACAGCCTCTCTTTCACCCACACTCATTTACACACTAGTTCTCTCACACACACACACACACACACAGAGGCCTCCGGCCCACAGCCATTGATGACAGCTGAGCAGCCGGGGAATGTTTAGCAGCTCTGATACACAGACAGCACAACAGCTGCCCCCTCAGTGCTCCTCTCAATAGCAGAAAGAGCTACTGGCACTAGCTAACCTGACAGGAAGTAGCAACCTGAAACGGGAAATAAGTAGCGAAATAGAGGTGTGAAGCCAGAGGAGAAAGAGAGAGAGAGAGAGAGGGATTTCCTCCATATTCCATCTTAAATATTTCACACACTTTTCCAGTGTCTGCCATATATGAACAGAGATAACACCTGCAGCTATCTATTCTTAACTCAGTGTAGCATGGCCCTGAGTTTACTTAGCAGGGGAACCCAAACACACATACACCAGACTCAAACACCCCGCTGGAAATTTATTTTTTTGTTGTTGTTTTTCTGTTAATGATAAAACAGTGGCAGGGGTTAGTTTAGTTTTTTAGTGAATCTTTCTGCAAGTTACACTGTTACGCCAGTAGGTGGCGACAACTGACCATCTTTATGAGTAAGCCATTTGAATTGTTCAATGAACAGATTCAAACAAAAGTGCTGATATATTGAGGAACGAAAAAGTTGACTGTCCTTAATAGCAAGTCATTGAATCATTCACTTTGTCAATTTGTTCAAAAGAAAGGTTCATTAACACATTTTTTTTTACCATTTTTATAGCTGCGTCACATACTGTGTAGGTACTATATTTGAATAAGAACCATTAATAAAGTATGTTCTATATTGTATAAATGCGTGTATGTACCAACTTTTTTATGAATACTGAGAATTCAGAAATACTTTTTCACATATTGTTTTTTGCCTACTATAGTAGGGACGTATGCATATTTGGATGCAGCGTTGAGTGAAGCAATGAATCATTCACTCAACTGATTTGTTCATAAACACTGATTTCTTTAGGAATTAAATAAATGTCTTTATGAGTGAAATATTTGTAAATTTTTTCTATTTTGTTCAAATATGTTTTGATTGATCATTTACTTAAATTTTTCTTAGTTCTTTTTTTTTTGTTTCTTTTTTCATCATGTACTCACCTTCATAACGTTCTAAACCTGTGAGACTTTTTTTCTTCTTTCTTCCTGTCCTGACTGCTCTTCCATATAATGAACGGGGAGAGTTGCTTTTGAGCTCTAAAATGAACCAAAAAATGTGTTAAAATTAGTCTGTATGACTCATGTACTATATTCAAAGCTTCTAAAGTCACGGGACAGCTTTGTGTGAGGAGCAGACTGAAATGTAATCTATGACTGTGACTAGACGGTGCATTAAAACCCTGAGCATACACACACATTCCTACATGACAACGGTACAGATTTGAGATATATTTCATTATATGTCATTTTTGTTGGCTCATGACCACTTTAGTGAGTCATGACTCATACACACAGATATCCCAGCAGAACTGGCCGTGTTCCATGCATGTGCCGGTAAATGCACAATAATGCCGTTTATTAGCTCTTGGAGACAAAACACTGTTAAATGATTTATTTGTTCCACTATTTGTGAGTAAATGGCTTCATTAAAATACACTAGAGCAGACAGAGGAATAACACACTGGGGGACGGCAGTGGGCCAAAGTTACTGCTCACAACCACATGCGTCATTATAAAACACACTGTGCATATAAACCAGCCCTGCCTCGTTTTTCTTCATCACAGACACTCAGAGATGACTGATGTATTAGCTAATAAACAGCGGTTCTCTTAACAGGTAGTAAACAGAAGAGCAGATTAGAGCATCTCCTAACAATCCAGCCTCTTACAGCAGCCGAGTGCATAAAGAGCTCTGATGATTGCAGGGTATACAACCAGCCATTACACTCCCTGACTGTATCAGAATATTCTCTGCTGAACAGATCTGCTTACATTAGTGCACATTTTCAGGCTAGTTTATGCTGGTTAGTGCTCAATTCAGATTGACCTAAAATGTAACCCTAAAAAAAATAATAATGATTTTATTTATGCATTATGGTTACATTGTAGATCAATCTGAATTTTGTATTTTTGTAAAATATTATATATATATATATACTACAGATATATTTTGTATAATCACAGATGAACTGTATAATTCACTGTTGACATGCAAATGTTTCATGCCTCTCATATCACTCTGTGCTCTTTTTCTGCATGCATAACATCATTTAAACTCAAATTAATATTTAATGTACATTTATGTATTTTTTTGGTGCAATGCATTAAGCAGGATGTACGATCAGTCAGCCATTATCACAAAATAAAAATAAAAAAGTCCAGAAAAACTTGCAGAAAAAAAGTTTCTATGCAGGAATTTAATACATGCACTCTGTTTGGATGTTCAAAGATTATGCATGTTGAAAAATCTAAAATTGAAAGGCAAGGCAAAGAGAGATGGTGGATTGGCTCTTAATTCTCAGAGTGCTTTGAGAGGGGTGCCAAGACAGAAAGATATATGGTAGCAGTGTTTATTCCACTGGCTCTCCAGTAAATAAACACACCTCCTGCTAAATGGAAATATGGATGCTTTCATACAAGCGTGTTTACACTCTCGTTGGAGGTGTGGCGTGGACTTGTTCTGCTGGGCTGATGGGGAACATTGGGTTCTTTCAGCGTTGTAACGGTTCTACCCACACATGGATGACCTGGAGCCAAGCAAAATGAGGGGTCTTACAGTAAAATGGAAGCTCAAATGATATCCAGTAAGAAGCACACACACAGTTCTAACCAGAAGCAAAACATTTTTATGTGTCAATGAGAAGTTCATTGACATGGCAGAGATGTTGACAAGGAGAATATACAAGCTGGAGATTGATATAAACAGCTTCTCAAGAACTAACCACAAATTTTAGGAGTGCTGTACCTGCATGGAATTTTCTCTCACAATTGTTATTTTAGTATTATTTATATACTGCTATAGTTATAGTTTTTATTTTTATATTTTCAGTTTAATTTTAGTTTAAGCAATTCTGTGATGTGCTTTTGTCATTTTTATTACTATTTTTTTTAAATTTCTACTAAATTTTTCATCTAATAATTATATTTTATCTCAGCTTTATTTCAATTACCAAAAACAATTTTTTTTGTCATTTTAGATTTAACAGTAACACTACTGACAATGATGTCTAAAGTTACTTTCATAGCCATTGAGGGATAGTTTACATTATAATGTTTATTTTATTTTCACCTTCACTGTGACTTTCAGCAGAAAATTAAAGGGGTCATATAACATTATTTTGTGTATTTGGTGTAATGAAATGTGTTTATGCGGTTTAAGATTAAAAAAACATTATTTTACACATACTGTACATTATTGTTTCTCCTCTATGCCCCGCCTTTCTGAAACGCGTCGATTTTTACAAAGCTCATCGGTCTGAAAAAGCAAGGTGTGCTGTGATTGGCCAGCTATCCAGTGCGTTATGATTAGCCGAATACTTCAAGCGTGAGACGGAAATGTTACGCCCCTTACCATACTGTTATGATGCCCTGTCAGGCCGGAGCGATTATAAACGAGGCATTCGTTGCATCCAGTGGGGACATAATTATGGATTATAATGACTTATACTGTCTTTTTACGCGTTGCGTTGCATTGCGCCGGGCTGGACTCCATTCGTCCACGGTGAAAGCGGATTCGGCGATCCACAGTGCAAAGTTGAAGTATTTCCTCAGCAATCAGCAAGGATCAGCTCCAGGCATGACGAAGCGATATCGTCCTCTTTTGGAAGGCCACACAAAGTAGTTTTGCTTTCACAACGAAACACACAGCGCCTTCACGACATGGCGGCGGCAACAACAATACTACAGCGAGAATAATAGTTACGCCTTCTTTCTTTGCGTGAACATTTGGGCACCGTTATGCAAATCTTCCCACATAGCGTCGTAGATATGTGGGGGCGTGTTAGAACGAGCCGTTTTAGGTAGGTGTTAACTTTTATAAAGAATATCTCTTTGGATTTGAGACTTTAGTCTTTGCAACTTTACAGATCTTCTTTATGCACCAAGAGCTTGTAACACTCCAAAGAGAAAGGAAAATTTGAAATCGCATCATATGACCCCCTTTAATATTGAATATGCCAGGCCGCATCAATAAAATGTTTTTTGTTCAGGGCAGATGCAGCTCAGCACTTGCTGTGCTGACAGAACATCTATCTGGGATCAGATCTGTAGTACAATACCTAGTTTCCATTCTCATTAACACTTTGGGTCAACTGCAGTTTTTTCCCACCTTCACCCTCACTTATCATCCAGCGGTGGCAATCACACAAAGCTTCTGGATTCAGCGTATTCTAAGAAACCATAAATGGTTGCCAGGGACAACAGCTTGAGGCAAAGATGATGGGCTTGCTGCTTGGATCAAAACACCCTTCTATCATGGCTGCGTTTTGAGTAGTGCCAGTGTGGCTCTCAAAAAGCCTCTCTTTAAACAGCATTTGAACGGTTGTTCTTTGTACTGGGTAATGGGTTTCCTTAATGTTTTTTTCATTTTACTTTCGGCTTCTTTGACACTTTATTGATAGCACAGAGAGAAAAGAAACAGGAAATGATGTAGGAACTAGATTAGGGGGAAAAAAGTCAGGTTCAAACTCTTATTGCTTATATATGACCACCACAGATCAATAGAGCATATTTACTAACTGCCTTTAACTATCATTAAAAGTTTGGGGTCTGTAATCATTTTTAATAATCAGGGATGCATTAAATTGATCAAAAGTGACAGTAAAGATTAGGTTTGTTACAAAAGATTTCTATTTCAAATAAATGCTGTTCTTTAAAACTTTATATTTTATATCAAAGAATCCTGAAAAAGATTTACACAAATATAAGCAAAATGTTTCTTCAAATATATATGTTTTAAATTTGAATAATATTTCAATATTCCATTACTGTTTTTACTGTATTTTTGATCAAATAAATGCAGCCTTGGTGAGCATAAAATACTTCTAAAACATAAAAAAAAATCATAATAAATCTCACCGACCCTAAACTTCTGAACGGTAGTGTTTCTCTACTTTGTTATTTTTTGGATCAGTTCATGTAAAATCTGTGTTCTGTAGTAAATCCTGAGCAATAGGTCATGACTCTGCAGTTGCCATTTTTTAACCTAATTTTATTTATTTCCATTTTCCTTCATAGATTTGACTATCAAGAGCTGCTCCACAACTCCACCTTCTGTCTTGTTCCCCGCGGTCGGCGCTTGGGGTCATTCCGTTTCCTGGAGTCTTTGCAGGTAAAACATTTTTCAATTCATAGTTTTCACGTGACGTCACACCCTTACAGGAACGCCCACATGGAGGGCAAAACAAGGCTTTCCGCCACTGACCGCCAGTTATTTTTAACTAGGTTTGCATTAAGTAGTAAGTGATATTTAAAGGCCAAATTCAGTATACACCTTATTGATTATGCATACTTTGTACAGGCAACCAGATGAACCCAGAATATAAACGCAATGCGCAAGGTTTAATATTAAATGTTTTCCCATAGAAAACCATTATAAAGAAAACGCTTAACCATTTAGCGCACTGCGTTCATATTCCGGGCTCATTTGCTTGCATGCATAATGCATGCATCATCAATAAGGTGTGTACTGAACTTGATCTTTTAATATCACTGTTTTAAAGGCACTTTAAGTGTTTTCACATTAAATGTTTTAGAATGTACCACTGTTTTTAGTGATTGAGATATTGCGGCGGGTGCTTTATATGGATTGCAAATGGGCAAAATTTGCATTATGTTCACTTTGTTTTATTCTTTTGAGAGGTGATCTAAATATTTTTGGATTGGAACAGATAGAAAATGTACAGGCTTGTGCTGCAGTTCTATGAATGTTTTGCCCGCCGGGTCTTCGAGCCAGTCACATGACTGAAAACTATGAATTGACCTGAAAACTGAATACAACCAAGTATGCTTCAACAAGCCTTTTAGAGATGCAAGAAAGGTTTGGCAGTTTATGAAAACAGTCAGGTTTCGGAGTCTCCCAGATAAACAGCACATTAGCCGCCGAGTGGAAAAACTTCCCTGGCGCATATATTCTTGGCGTCCTGGTGGTGTGTGTGAAAGGGCCGGAAGCTCACGAGGGTGCCCTCGCTTCGACTCTGCCGAGCTGTGCTGAATGGATAAATCCACAGAACGGTGGGTTTGGCAGCCAGCTCGGCCCTCACACTGATTCCTGGGCAGTCCCTCGCTCTACTCCTCTGTCTTTTTCTCCCTCTGTGCTTTTCCATATAAGCCCCTGTCTGAGTTCCATAGATCTCTTTTCTTTGGAGGCAGCCAAAGCCACAGAAAGAACTGGCAATTACTAGTACTGCTGAAAATTCTAGAACAGAGGTTCTCAAACATTTCAGGCCAAGTAGCACCTAGCCGGGGGTAAAATTGGGATTTCAGAGGTGGCCGACACTAAACATTTTCCAATCAAAGGTGGCGGACCATTACGGCCCTGTTACACTCCTGCATATAGTCACAATGTTCCTTTTAATTTTTTCAGCAGTGGGTACATTGACATCTCTGGGCGCAAGCCTACGGACTGTGTGAGTGACATAATACCATCTTTTGATTAATATCCATATCCTTGTAATTAAGATAAATCATGCTGCTGTCTCATCAATCCCTTGACTGGCCCTTTTGCAGATCTGTGGAGAGATGCTATAGAACAGCATCTAAAAAAAAACTAATTTAGAAAGTATGTCATTGCAAATTCACACGCTGATATGTAAACTTTTCAGTCCATTTCAAAACATTAATATTATATATACTGTAGTTTTTGGAATGCTGTCTAGTCTGTCTTGTGCTTGGAATTTTTCTAGCATACATTATGGATAGACTTAAAATGGAAATAAAATAAAAAAATAATGTTAAAATTAAATGGTGTTTTTAATAATATGATTATTTATTATTTACTTTTTTATTAATAGTTACCAAAATAAACACAAATTAATATAGTTAATTATCCTAATTGTAGGCTACTTAAGGTTTCCAAGTAACGTGGCAATTAAAATACAATTAAACTATTAAAATAAAATGTAGTCACAGGTGTGTTAAGTTACATTTATTATTAATATTGATCAGATTGAACACCAATTAATATAGTTAATTATTCTAATTGTAGGTAATTTATGGTTTCCAAGCAACTTGGCAATTAAAATCGAATTAAATTGTAAAATAGAATAAAATATAGTTACAGGTGTTTAAATAAATAAATAAATTAAATTAATTATTTATAATTATCAGAATAAATACAAAGTAATATAGTTAATCATCCTAATTGTAAACTGTTAATGGTTTCAACATGGCAATTAAATAAAAAAACAATGTGTCACAGGTGTGAATTTTACTGTGGCTTCAGATGTTACTCGTCCAATTAATGTCAGTACAATCTGTTTTACAAATGTATATGGATCATAACTACAGCGATTTAAATAAAACATTTTAGTACTGTAAATTAGTACTGCAAAAGTCCACACACCACAGCATGAGAACCACTGCTCAAGAACATCCTCCGACCCCTATCATCCAGATCCTGCTTTCTTTCTCTCTAATCTCGCAACCACTCTGTGGTGCTGATTCCTCGACACACTCCTTGCAGAAAAATGGCTGTGCAAGCAACCACGGAATAGATCAGTGCCAAGAAGGATCTGTGGTAGTCGGGCGGCCCAAGAGCTATCATCCCAGAGCATGAAACAAAGGCCAGCTCCTGGGTCTCTGTGGGCTTAGTAGGCCAAGGTAGCAATCAGTCACCTGAAGCAATTTGTTGCCGTCCGCCCATGTGTCCTCTAACGCTGTTTAGGATGAAAGCATGGCTGCACACAGCTAGAGGGGGTGTGTTTGATCTTGGCCCGTTCTTAGGATTGCACTCTCTTGTGATTTAATTAAAAATCTCACTGTAGACCAGAATACGAGCTGAATGGCGAAAAGAAGAAGAAAAAAGGCAAACAACGAGTCTGGGAGGAAAAGTAGAGCAACATCAAGATGGAATAGTAAACAAGAGGGAAGGCGAGCAACTCCACTTCAATAAATCATGGACCCCTGTTCCTCTACTACCTCACCCTCCTATTCGGGGCGAGGGAGATGGGGTAATTAACACATCTGTCTGGCATTGTGTGTTTGATAAAAATGCTGGATGGGAGCAATAAGTCATCCACAGGCCCCTCTGAGACAAGAGGGAAGGCGAGCAACTCCACTTCAATAAATCATGGACCCCTGTTCCTCTACTACCTCACCCTCCTATTCGGGGCGAGGGAGATGGGGTAATTAACACATCTGTCTGGCAGCTTGATAAAAATGCTGGATGGGAGCAATGAGTCATCCACAGGCCCCTCTGAGACTTCTTAAACATCCAAACAGCCTTTTCATCACACGCTATATATCTCATAACCTTGCCTAAAGGGAAAAATCAGATGCACTGTCTATATTTCAGTGCATTTGGAGTGAACTTGGTCTGTTTTCTTGTGTGTGTGTTTATTTTTTATTCGATGAATTGATTGTGCTGATGTTAATTATAGTCTAAGCCACTGTCTGTCTCTTGTGGTTGTATCCCTCACAGGCCGCTTGTATCCCGGTGTTACTCAGTAATGGCTGGGAGTTACCCTTCTCTGATGCCATCCAGTGGAACCAGGCAGTCATCGAGGGCGACGAGAGACTGTTACTACAGGTAACAACCCTTCCTGTGAAGTACTCGAATGTCATTTTCCTGAGAAGGGAACATAAGGATGGAAGACGCCACTAATTAAAATATACGTTGGTAGTTGAAAAAACATATGCACAAACACTTTTTTATTATGAAGATTTCACATGAATGTATGAGGGAAAGTGTGCGTTCTTAGATTTTGTGACTTTCACCATTGCAGTTTACCTATTCCTGCTGCTGTGTGACATGAATATTTGTATTAACTTTTCATTAAGGTTCGATTTGTTAACATTAAAGTATTAGGTGTCATGAACCAACAACGGACATTTTAGAGCATTCGTTAATTTTGGTTAATGTTTATATATATATATATATATATATATATATATATATATGCTGTTTCTTTGAACATCAAAGAATCCAGAAAAAAATTTAACACAGTTTTCACAAAAATATGAAGCAGCATAACTGTTGATAATAAAAAGAAATGATTATTGAGCACCAAATCAGCACATTGGAATGATTTCTGAAAGATCATGTAACACTGAAGACTGGAGTAATGGCTGCTGAAAATTCAGCTTCGCTATTACAAGAATAAATCACAATTTTAAGATATTCATACATTTTTTAAAAATGGTAATAACATTTCTGAATATTACTGTTTTTACTGTGTATCAGATAAATGCAGCCTAGGTGAGACTTCAAAAAAATATATTAATGGTAGCTAACATTAATTTATATTTTTTATTCATTTGTAACTTGAAATGTTACAAATGTATTATTATATGTAGAAATTAACAGCGCTGTTATTACCTCGCTAGTGAGAAATGTCATGTGTAGCCTTTAAGTTGCTACACTATATAGGCTAACTGATCAAATCATCAGGGCATGCTGACAACACTTTTTTGTGCAAACTGCGTGACCGTAGTGTGCGTGTGCGAGCATGTGTGATTGCAGTAATTCCTGTGTGCTGTATAGGTACTGTATGCTAATTTCCATTATTAGTTAACTATGCGAAGTGTAATGCGGTCAAGAGAGCTGCCTGGAACTACGTTCGCCATGCGTTTCCCTCAAAATAATTGCACACCTCAGAATGTTCGTCAGCCAATCAGATTCAAGCATTTAACGGCCCCGTAGTATAAGGGTGCTTTCGCACTAGCACTTTTGGTGTGCACCCGGGTTCGATTGACGTCAGAGTTCGGTTCGTTTGGATGATGTGAACGCTGTCTTCCGAACTCGGGTGCGCACCCGCGAACCGTACCCGAGTCCGCTTAAAAAGGGTGGTCTGGGGTACGGTTCGCTGCTGATGTGAACGGAATCGTACCAAATCACGGAAGTGAACCGCTATTAAAGGGGTCATATGATGCTTTTTTGAATATCATTATTTAGTGTATTTGGTGTATATTATTTGATAAAAATGTGTGTTTGTGTGTGTTTCACTCACTTTCTTGACGAGCGTGACTGATGCGGTGCAAGCAGATAGCTGAATATCTCATTTCTGTTCGCCTTCAGCATTTTTTAGAGCATTTGCAGTACATTCGTAAGGCAGACGTAAGTGCCGTTATGTACTGAAGCTTTGGAAACAAAACCAACGGTTCAAAAACATAAATATAAAATTGAAGAGAGCCTCGCTACGCATTTTGCCGTCTTCTCCTGCGCCGTCGTTGCTAAGCAATGGGGTAAACAGCTGCTGGCTTGATGACGCAAACGAACCACGGTTCGGACCCAAATAATTTAATGTGAACACAGTCCAGCGGGGGCAGGGGGAGGGGGGAGCAATCGAACTCGGGTTCGGCCCAAGCAATCGAACCAAGTGTGAAAGCACCATTATTTTTATTGCACTGTCGAAATTCTAAACACACTGGTTTGTAGCGCAACTACTTTTTACCGTTTACTGCACTGTCATTCGCCTTTTATTATTTATTTACAAATGAATCGGAAGTCTCGCACATTCACAGAAAATTGTTTACTTCCGCGTTGAAAAATAAGGTGGGCACTGTAGCATTTCACTGCAAAACACTTTTGTCAGCAGTGTTGGGTAAAGTTACTTTTAAAGTAATGCATTACAATATTGCGTTACTCCATAAAAAAAGTAACTAATTACGTTACGTAGTTACTTTTTATGGAAAGTAATGCATTACGTTACTTTTGCGTTACTTTTTAAGTCTGGACAGGGCTTGCTTGTTTGTTTTTAAAACACATTTTTTTTATTTCTGGCAAATATAAAAGCCTTTTCACACCAAAAGTGAAATGAATAAGCCTCAGGCTGAAGGGAAAGTACATTTACGTCCGTACAGTAGAATGCAGAAGACATTTCAACACACTTCAGCAATAAAAAAAGACACACAAATGTTTGTCTAGAGTAATTTGTGCTTATTAGTACGGTTGAACTGGATCATCGAAGGTCAGAAGCAAATAGAATGGGATTAAAGACTTAAAGGATATTTGGTTTGTTTAACATTTAATTATTGCACGTTTGCGTCATATTCTGAGTTGCATTATTTTTATTCATTTTGAGGAATGCTGAATCAAAAATGAAGAAAAAAATAATTTTGTGAGTGAGATGAATTAATGCATATTCATATTTATTTTAGATCTACAGTAACATCTTCTGATTTCTCTCAACATGAGGACAGGAGAGCTGTCAATCAATAAATTGAAAAAAAAGTAACTTGCGTTACTTATTTGAAAAAGTAACTCAGATATTCTCTTGTAAATTAAAAAGTAATGCGTTACTTTACTAGTTACTTGAAAAAAGTAATCTGATTACGTAACGTACGTTACTTGTAATGCGTTACCCCCAACACTGTTTGTCAGTGCTGCATATTTTTGTCTTGAAGAGTTTCTGGAGGTGACAGGTAGAACAACGATACTAAGGTTTTTATAGGAACACCAATTAACCTCACCGGTGAATTCTTTGCCACTTTGTTCCCTCAGGTACCTTCTACGGTGCGGGCTGTGGGCATTGACAGGGTGCTGGCTCTCAGACAGCGTACACAGATGCTCTGGGAGGCCTACTTCTCCTCCGTGGATAAGATTGTACTCACCACACTGGAGGTGAGAGCTAGGTCAGCTTAGATGTGTAGTTTATACAGCGGCGTGTCTGACAGAGAGGAAGGTCTGTCAGGGGAAATTAAACCAGTGAAGGATGCCATACATAATTAGCACATACTTAGTCCCCTGCCCTTAGGTTAATTGGCAAATGGAATGTCAATTTTGCACAGAAGTATGGCTTTGGTTTGCCCTCTGCTGGCCAGCAGGTGAAACTGATCATCTTTAAAACTGAGAGGGATTCAATGTGTCTGTTTGATTTGATGTGATTGATTGTTATATTGAATGCTACCGTCTTGATGTCTGTCAGATCATAAAGGACAGAGTGTACTCGCACATCTCCAGAAATAAATTCATGTGGAATGCCTTACCAGGAGGGCTGCTGGTTCTGCCCGAGTACTCGACGCACCTGGCACACTACCCCTTCTATTACTTAAACCTTGGTAAGCCTGTGCCAGATCTTTATTTATATTATATATATATATATATTAATGCTCAGTGGTAGAGCATTACGTTAGCAGTCAAAAGGTCATGGGTTCGATTCCCAGGGAACACACATACTTTGGATAAAAGCGTCTGTTATATATA